ATTTCTTAAAGTGGTATTAAACTATGGTGTAACCTTTTTATACCATAGTTGTATTTAGAGTCACAGGAGGACATATACCAATGTCCTCCCGTGACCCAAAGCTTGGTATATAGCGGGCTATAGCTCGTTGTATACTGAGCGCCGCAGCTGAGACGGATCCCAACAATACTGTTGAGATCCAGCTGGCTGATGGGCAGAGCCCGCTGTCAATCTAGAGGCAGAGCCAGCTGTGCCCGCCTCCTCCACCGTTCCTCCAGTCAGCGCTGGAGGATCTGAGAGGGAAGGGGACAGTCACCATTTTCTGCAGGGAGTTGATCGGAAAGTGAGCCAGTAATGGTATGTGTTCGCTCACTTCCCGATCAATAGAGCCGACCTGTGACAGTTTCATCGGCTCTAAGTGTGAGGATGAGTTTAAATTACTCACCTCATAGTTCTCCTTTTTAAACCTTCTGTGTTTTTTTTTTTGTTTTTTTTTTATTGTGTAGAAGGATCATACATAAAATTGCTACCCTTTTAAAGTTTTGTCTTTCCTCATTCTTTACCTGATCCCCAAACCGCTTTCTGCCCTGCCTTTAGTAGTACTACAAGCTTTAACTAGAAAGATATAGCAGAATATTTCCCTGTAATTTTTCCCAATGCAGCTTTTAAGGAATGTGTACATCCTCAGATATTTACCCTAAAATAGAAGCCTTCTGAATAAAAGGATATCACATAAGGGTGATTTAAATCTAACATAGCGGAAAGATAAATCTCCAAAGTAACCTTGTTGACACTACATTGTGACGAATGCAGGAAAGTATGTTTCTGTAATTTGTTAGCATAACAATGAGATGGTCAAGATGGGCTTGCATTGATATATTGCACAAGGGCAACATTTTCACAGGTTTGTGATGGCTAAAATGATCCGAATTACATTATATATGTATTACATTTATTATCTGTTGCTGCAGGACAGAACTGCATCGGCTAGTACTGGAGTCTCGGAAGTTCCAGGATGTCATAGCTTTTCCTCCTGTAAATGCAAAGCATTTTGTTTACAGTTCTCCTGTGGAGCCATCTGTGGCAGTATTGGCAGCCTGGGAGCTGCTGCGTTTTGTGCTAGATGGCAATTCTCATTGAGAACCAGTATTTCAAGCACAAAACCTTGCAGGGATCTGCCTCGCTACTGATGGGATGGTACTGAGACTAAACCACAATCTCAAATACTATTTAACCACTATCCTAGCGCCGTTTTAAATCACCACCAGGGATTTAAGTCCTTAAATACACCGACTCCCATATCAAAATTATATATTTCAAGTAAATGTGAAAATGTACATGTCTAAAAAAGCGTAATCAACCATAACTAGTCCTACAAACCAATGGCTATCTGGATCAGTCCGCTAAAGCATAATGCATGTCGTATTTTATTGCTATGTGAGGTTTACCATTTTTTAAAACAGTATTTTATGTTTTTATCCTGGATCTAAGGGCAGCCATTGAGTTATTGGAGAGGGGGCAGGGCACATATGACCAAGTGATTTACTGATCTGTCACAGATGTGTCGTCCAAACCCCCCCAGCTGACATTACCTCCATTTTCATTGGAGGTGGCCTGTCAGGAGAAGGTACTCCCCTTTTCATCTTGTCAGAATGTGATATTTGTAATCCCTTCTCCCCCTTCTCTATGGGTGGTATATAGGTACCTCTGTTTTCCCCTCTGCACTGGCACCACACAGAAAATTGGGGGGGTTGCAGTGAACTTGGTACTTTTGGGCCAGTGGGGGTCTCCATATGGAGTCCAACATCGCTCTTCCCTACCACTATCATCTTCTGATCTACTGCCTCCACTCTCCCCACTTCCTTGAGGTGACCCCGCTGGTTTCACTGCTTGAGGCACTGAGTATTACTGTTGACTGTGACTACTGCTGGGCACTGAGAGCTCTGCCAGGCATTGAGACTACTGCAGGGCACTGTCAGGGTCATAAAATAAAGGGTGAAATGGAGCTCAAACCAGCCAGTCAGGAATTTACATCACCAATGTTCGATACAGAATGTTTGAGGAAATTAACTGCAATTTGGGGATGCACAATAAATAGCACAAGCACTAAATTAAAAAGTATGTACACAAATGCTAGTGTAACAAACAAATTGGTGGAGATTGAACTTTTGTTACTCGGGGAGGACCATTGACTTTGTGGCAGTATCAGAAACCGCTAACATGACTGGGCTGCTAATATACAAGGGTACAACCTGTTTCGGAGGGACTGAGTTAATGGAAGGGAGATGAGTTATGCTTGTATGTAAAGGTCAATCTGAAAATGAACATGAGAAATGTCAGAAATGAGAGTTGTGACGGTGCAAAGTCTGTGTGGCTGGAGCTTCATAAGACCGAAGCTAATTGTACACAGATTGTGGGTGTATGCTATAGACCACCTTGGGTAACCGTGATCTCAGGGTGATTACATTTGCAGTAAGTTGTGGAAAAGAGAGGCATGTTGGTATGACAGGAACTTTAAACTTCAAAAAGGCCAACTTCAACAAGCTTTGTTCTTTACTGTATGATCCCACATGGGACTAAATATTTATAAGAATTAAACCTATGTGGCTGAATCTGACAGGAAAACAAAATATCAATGAGGAAAAGCAAAGACCTTAAAAGGGAGCTAAAGTAGAATACAAAAAATGTTGCCAGTCAGTAAAAAGAACCCCCAAAAATTCTTCCAATATGGAAACTGTTAAAAGGTAAGAAAGGAACACGTAGACCCCACAAAAGATGAGCATGGGAGGTTGATGCCAAATGACAAGGAGAAGACAAAGGTAATAAATACATTCTTCTCCCCAGTATATATTAATGTAAATGACGCATTTAATGAAAAAAACAATGCAATGTGCTGAATGGTTGACAGAAGGCAGGGTTCAAAACAGACTAGAAAAACTTAATGTGAATAAATCCCCAAATGAGATAACTTACACCCACAGATCTTAGGGAGCTAAGCCAAGTTATAGCGAGACCATTGTACCTAATTTTCAAGGACTGTTACTGACTGGAAGGGAGGCAACTGACTGGTGTGAATCAACTGTTGTAGAAATATTCCAAAAAGGTTGAGCTGTTTACCAGGGAACTACACACCAGTCAGCCTAACATCAACAATATGCTAATTATTTGACGCTATTATTTAATAATGAATGGAGGTGTGGGAGAGCTCAGTTGTAATGTATACAGTTCGCTTGCTAAACATTGAGGCAGCCATTTCCATGAGGTGATGAAGAGTAAAGCTAAGAAAAAATGTAAGTTTCTGTGTTCATATACAGCAACTGCATATGCCTGCTTCATGTACGCTCAGTGTACATTGCTGGCATATTTTTTTTTTTTTAAATACCTCTGCAAATGGGGAAATAGCCTGTAATGGCGATTAGTAAAATCAGTAATAGATTCACACTGGCGGCAGCCAGAGTAAGTGTATCACGATGCTGGAAATCCACGGAACCACCGTCATTGGAGAGTTGGGGGAAAATAATGGACGAAATAAGAAACATGGAAGAATTAAGTGCAAGTGATGCAGATAGGAAAGATAAATATGATAAGACATGGGAGAAATGGGAAGTTTATAGACAGGCAGAGGTCTCTAGGACATAGATAATCCCCATAGATGCACATAACGGCAGACTTAATTATACATGGATAGACGTTAAAGCATTAGACCTGTTTACATGGTAGTTTGTAGAAGTATGATGGTTACTGGGGGGAGGGGGGTTAGGAACAACACTTAGGGAGGTAAAGGGTAAGGTGTGAGATAGTAGGTTACACAGTGAGGGGTATAATATATAACGCATTCACAACAGGAAAATGGACTAACAGTTTTGTTTTTTTTTGTAACACAAGAATGATAAGAACACAAGTATTAGGGGATGGCGGCGGGGGGAGGGGAATCTCACAGTCATATAGACACTATAGTTTAGACTATTTAGTCATACACAAAATAGAGTGAGGAAGACACGAAGAAAGTAGGGAAGGGAAAGGAGGTATCTGGACAAGGTTGAGGACTCTAAAATAGTTTTACACAAACACACTGGGAAAGTTCCCCCACCCCTCTAAATGACGAAAGGAGTGTTAGCGGATTGACTGGGAGAGTAGAATTGTGGCTAAGGGGATAAATGTTATGGGGAAAGCATGAGTAAACATATGTATAGATAAGAATGTAATTGAATGGATTATGTTAATCAAGATATGCTATCCTTACTAGATACACACAGAGAGTACATCTTTTATCTACATTTATGAAATGTGTGAATGTTATTATTGTGAATGTATCAATGCGTAATAATAATAAAAATATATTAAACCAAAAAATAAACGGTTTACTGTAAGTTCATGTAATTTGGTAAAAATGTGAGACACTCTTCTTCTCCAGGTAGTGGTGTCAACAGAGTATAGACTCTTCAAATAAAAATGTGGACGCTTTCCTCAGTGAGCACAATATACAGAGGTATAGGTACTCTTGATGACTTGTATACACCTATATTTGTATTTACACACACGTTGGGCTTGATGTCTTTATTCAAGCTTCATAACTATGTATCAAGGAAAAAAAAAAACATATGAGGAGATGCAATAACACTAAATATGATTAAAGGCGTTCAGTTTTTGTTTTTTGCATGTACGTTTATGTCCATACCGTAGCATCATGATGGTGTGTAAAAATAAATGTTTTTATGAGAACCCTGTGTAATAACATAATGAAAGCAGTTAAAATGACTTGTACAGCCTGCTAGACTCACTATTTTTTGCTTTCTGGACTTTGTTTTGTTGCTATAGAACCATAAATTCCCTTTATCTATTCTAGACAGATATTTTATAACATTATTTTCATCACTAATATTTTCCTGCTGCTAAGTTAGTCATTGTATGGTAACCATGCACTTTGATTCAGATATGAAAAAATCCAATTAATGCAACTTGCTAGTATAAACTGTATTCCTATGATGTGTAATTTGTTGGATTTTATTTTAATTTTACAGGTCAACGCACCGACTGTTCTCTAGCAAGGTCATTATTTAAAGTATTTTAAGTGAATAATCTAAAATATTGTATTGGTGCTTGATGAATTTATTGTCATATCTATTTCTATTTGTGTTTTTAGTGGTCGACGAATGTCAACTCTAAGAAAGCAGGTAATGTTTAATGTAATGTCAATTGTGTTAATTGTGGTGTTTGTTAATTGTGTATAAACAGTAGAAAGACCATGTATACAATTTAAAAGGCTTGCACCGGGAATGTTTTTAACTTGCTCAAAGTGGTCCGGTACACTGTAGAATAGATGGATATATACAATGCCCCGATACGAAGAGTCAATACCAGTGCTTTTACATTTTTAAACTGAATCTGGGGCTGTAAATAGGCGCTGCGCTTCACATGAATCTAGAAGAAATGTTGTCCGCACATCATTCTTCAGAAATGATGTTTTAAAACCTTTAGCATGACATGTGAATTCTAAGGGAGTTGTGTGGAGGCCTCGCACCACTTCTCGCAAAATTAACATTAGTGTCTAATTGTTGCTTGATTCTTGATGCGGAATCCTTCCGGTATTTTGCAGACTCTGTAATACTTTGAAAGAGTTTGCCCATGTAATTCCAGATCTGTGCATTTCTTTTTAAGTCTTTTGATCTCATTTAGTAGATCAGTGACACAGGCACTTCACAGGAAGGCTGCCAAGGTCCCCAGCGATCAAGCCTTTTTTCCCCCCCTACATTTAGCCCTGCTTCGAGCAAGCAGCGCAGAGCCAAATATAGATGGATCCGTTTTGTACAAGTAATCTAGTACAAGCAGTCCGCTTGTCACTATCCCCCCTCCCCCCTGGCAATCTGTCTCCTCGCTCTCCGCCAGCTGCCTGGTTGCTGGCTGTGGTTTTCGGGGTCCTCCGCTCTTCTTGGTTTAGGATCGAGAGTAGACTGGAGTTCTCTGGTCTGCTCCGTGTTAACACTGACAGGAGAGCTGTATTCATCCTTCCTGTCTCAGCTGTCACAGGAGATATGCTTAAACTCCTGTATTGGAGGTAACAGATTCCATAAAGAGAGCCTGTCACCTCCTAACGCTATCGCATAGGGGCTTGTAAGTAAATAAAGAAAAAATAAAAATGTAAAGTACGTAGCCATGCAACAGCACTCTCTAACTTGCACTAAGTGCATTAAAGGGTTAGCTCATTAATGGGCACTCAGGGCTAATTCTCAGCAAGCGTGTTCCTGGAGCAGAGCAGTTACAGACCGGATCAAAACTGCGTCCAATGTATTCCAATGGTATTTTGGGCTCTAGTTCACACCGCAGCATTCAGTTCCAGAGCATGTAAAAAAAACTGCAGCAAGCCCTATTTTACCTGCTCTGGAACGCATGCAAACTCATCAAAAACGCATACAAATGCCCTGGAACGCACTAAAAGCCCATTTTAAACACACAAAAAATATATACAGGTGAAACTCGAATAATTAGAATATCGTGCAAAAGTAATTGCAGTAAGTGCTGCAAAAGGGGCCCAAACCAAGTACTGAGTACATATGCATGCTTGTACTTTTCAGAGGTCCGATATTGTTCTATGTACAATCCTTGTTTTATTGATTGCATGTAATCTACTTTTTTGAGGTTGTGGATTTGGGGTTCTTGGGGTTTTCATGAGCTGTAAGCCATAATCATCACAATTATGACAAATCACGGCTTGAATTATCTTGCTTTGCATGTAATGAGTCTATCTCATATATTCGTTTCACCTTTTAAGTTGCAGTAGTGAAATAAATTAACTTTGCACGATATTCTAATTATTCGAGTTTCACCTGTGTGTATGTGTATATGTATGTATATATATATATATACTTTTTACCAAAAACAGCCTGGAATGTATAAAAATCACAGCAAAAACCACTGTATAACACACTGCACTGCATGTGCAGAAACTCATGCAGATCTGGTCTGCATTTGGTGTGAACAAGCGCTTAAACGTAATGCCAGGGGAAATATGCAGTATATCCACTCCACACATAAACCTGGGATAATAGTTCCTTGTAACCCCAAGAGGTCCGAGGGGGTCTGCATAGTCCTAGGTCCATAGTCAGTAAGAAGGAGGCTAGCCCCCACAGGCTGCTCCAACATCACTGCCATTTCTCCGTGCCTTCATTCAGGGAGTTTTTGCCCCTCCTGTAAGAACACAGTTGTCACCATGGGACCCTAATATTTTCAGTTGTGCAAAAAAACAAACCTTTGCACACCACAGAGATCCAACACTACTTTAACATTAACTCAGAAAGTGGCTTGTTTGATGTCCTTCTTCACTTCAGCTTGTAGGGTATCTGATTTGGAGGCATTGTCAATCAAGCTACCATATTTGGTGTTTTTTAAGGATGGTCATCCTGAATGAGGGAAGTAACAGCTTTACACCTAAGTGAGGACATCTCTCTCTCTCTCGTCTCTAATGCCAGTTCACCTTAAGGAAGTGGCCCTACCCCTACATTCCTTGGATGTAGTTAGGGCAATTGAGCTGCCTTTGAATGCCATGGCAGCATCATCCCATGCCAGTTTTGGGAGTAAATTTTGCAGGTGGCAGTTTCACTGATCTGCATCACTGTTTCTTTAATACGGTCAGTCTGATCTTCCGATCTAATTTTTTGCCCTCCCTGTTGTGGCACTGTTTCGGGATGTCCCAGTCAGTGATTAACTAAAGCAGAAAATATAAAATAATAAATGAAATGAAGAACGAATGAAAGAGAAAATAGTATTTTATTTAAATTTTTTTACGTCTGTGTTCATTGGAGGACACAGCACCCACCCCTCTGGCTTGCTGCTTCCTTTATAGGTACATACGTTTGTTTATATTTTGTTGTGCATGTTTTTGTTGCACTACTGTGCCATGTAACGGAGTTGCGAAAAGGGTTTTACCGGTGGCAATATACCCAGTCACTGAGTAACTAAAGTAGAGCTGTGTCTTCTAAGGAACACAGAGAAAAGGATTTTAGTATGAGTACCAAAAAAAATAGTTTTTAATAAAGGAGAAATGTGGCCAGTTCATTAATACATTTTGTAAATTGACAAAAAACTTTCAGATTCTTGTTCTTGAAGGTCTTTTAAATTAAAACTCCTATAAACTGCTACTGCGTACAACTAACCATTTAGCACGTGAACATAATGCATCTTGGCTCTCCAGTTATTTTAGGCTGCTAGGCACAGTCTTTAGATTCTAATACTGTATTCTAAAAGAAGTAACAATGGCACACCCTGATGGAATGTAAGTTTGCTGATGATTTGTAACCTGACTGTAGTTCTCCTTTAGCTTGTTCTGTGCTTTTTTTTTTCTATTTTTTTCTATATTGCATATACTATTCACATGCATTCTACTCATTGTATACTCTATTTCTTACTGTTTATCATTCCACTTTCTACACTGTGCTGTACCTCCTGTACTCCACATGGATCTACACTAGAGGTAGGCAATCCCAACACTCCATTTGTGGTGAAACTACAAATCCCTTCATGTCTTTGGGAGTCAGTATTGCAATGCATCATGGGACTTGTACTTCCACAACAGCTGGAGTGCTGAGGTTGCATACCCATGATCTACACCAGGGGTGCCCACAATTTTTGTGTTAAGATCTACTTTTCAAATGACTAGCTACATGAGATCTACCAGCGGGAAAAACCTCCCTCGCTCTCTCTCTCCTGGCTGTCTCTCCTCGCTCTCTCTCTCTCCTGACTGTCTCTCCTCCTTGCTCATCCTCATGGCTGTCATTCCTTGTTTTTTCTCCTGGCTGTCTCTCTTTGCTCTCTCCTGTGGCTGTCTCTCCCCTGGCTGTCTCTCCTCGATCTCTCTCCCCTGGCTAACTTTCCTCTCTCTCCTGTCTGTCTCACACCGCTCTCTCTCCTGGCTCACCTTGCTGTATCTTGCAAACAGTGTAGTGCAACAGGCTGTGTAAACGAATATTCTTTGATGTAATACATAGCACTTCAACCACCATAAAGGATGTCAGGGAGCTTGGCTCAGTAGACTCAGGCTAATAGGTAATCATGTGTGCACAGCTAAATAAATATACCAAAATGGAATAAAGGGGCCACCATTCGCACCCTTCATGATCTACCAGCATCAGCTTCGAGAGCTACTGGTAGATCCCGATCTACCTAATGGGCACCCCTGATCTACACTATACACTGTTTATGCTTTGTTATACATTACATTTGTCTTCCTGTTTATAGTATATACTCTACCACTCTGTTGTCTCCATCAGACTCGCCAGCCAGCAGATTGCATTCATTGTCACAGTTGCTCTTGTTCCCAAAAATGCATATATTTGCTAATTATGTATACATGTGTGTGCATGCCCGCTCTAATGCCCTCCACACCCCTCTCCTGCAATGGCTCACCTTGCTGTATCTTGCAAACAGTGTAGTGCAACAGGCTGTGTAAACGAATATTCTTTGATGTAATACATAGCACTTCAACCACCATAAAGGATGTCAGGGAGCTTGGCTCAGTAGACTCAGGCTAATAGGTAATCATGTGTGCACAGCTAAATAAATATACCAAAATGGAATAAAGGGGCCACCATTCGCACCCTTCATGATCTACCAGCATCAGCTTCGAGAGCTACTGGTAGATCCCGATCTACCTAATGGGCACCCCTGATCTACACTATACACTGTTTATGCTTTGTTATACATTACATTTGTCTTCCTGTTTATAGTATATACTCTACCACTCTGTTGTCTCCATCAGACTCGCCAGCCAGCAGATTGCATTCATTGTCACAGTTGCTCTTGTTCCCAAAAATGCATATATTTGCTAATTATGTATACATGTGTGTGCATGCCCGCTCTAATGCCCTCCACACCCCTCTCCTGCACTTACTGCCCACCTTCATACCCTGTGGAGCTCCTACGTTAGGATTTGAGCGACTTTGACAAATTGTAATGGCTAGACAACTGGGTCAGGGCAACTCCAAAACTGCAGCTCATGTGGCAAGATCCCCATCTGCAGTGGTCAGGACCTACTAAAAGTGGTCTAAGGAAGGTAAACCAGTGAACTGGCGACAGGGTCATGGGCAGTCAAGGCTCATTGATGCACGTGGGGAACGAAGGCTGCCCGTGTAGTGCATCCAATAGAAGAGCTACTACAGCTCATGTTGCTGAAAAGGTTAATGCTGGTTTTGATAGAAAGCTGTCTGAATACACAGTGCATCAGTTTGTTGTGTATGGAGCGCCCAGACCAGTCAATGCAGATGCTGATCCGTGAGCATCAGAACTGTACCACAAAGCAATGGAAGAAGGTAGCCTGGTCTGATGACTTGGACCAAATTATTGTGTCTGCCCACACTGCAAAAATGGTTTGAGGAAAACGATAAGTTTGACGCCCTACCCCGCAACTTAGAGGACTTGAAATGTTTTCTATTGACGACTTGGTGCCAGATAGCACAGGATGCCTTCAGAGGGTTAGTGCAGTCCATGCCTCGACGTGTCAGGGCTGTGTTGGCAGGAAAAGGGGGACTCCATTTCACAAAGAAAGTCTATAAGTCAGCAATTTTAAAGCCAAACACTTCCTGTTTGTAGTAGCATAGCTATTTATTTCAAAATAAGTGACTGCAAATACACTAATTTCACTTTAAGGTTATAAGGACTTTAAAGGAGAACTATGGGGTTAAGGCTTTTCCCCATAGTTCTCCCTGGTGTAACGGGAGGACACAAACTAGCGTCCTCCCGTCACCCTAAGCTCAGTATACCGCGAGCTACAGCTCGCGGTATAATGAGACGCTGCTGTTCGCGGTATACTGAGACGCCGCAGCTGAAGCGGATCCCGACAATTATGTCTGGATCCGCCCAGCTGCGTGAGTGACAGCTGGCTCTGCCTATCTAGAGGCAGAGCCAGCTGTACCCGCCCCTCCCCCATCCGTTCCGCCAGTCAGCGCTGTCGGATCGGAAAGGGGAATCCAGCCCCTCCCCTGTCACTGCAGAGAGCTGTGACAGGATCGAGAGGTGAGGGAACCCGGTATGTGTTCGCTCACCTCCCGAACTACTGAGCCGACCTGTGACAGTCTCATTGTCACAGGTTGGCTAGAACTATGAGGTGAGTGAAAAGCACTGGCCTCATAGTTCTCCTTTAAATGGGTTTATCCGTTCATGACAGTGTAGGCAACAGACTGTTGTAAATAAGACATAAGGATTATATTAAAAGATATCTGTATTTTTATGTTAAAGACCAACAAGTGAGTGATAATCATTGTGGATGCTACTGTATGCATACTTGTAGCTATGTTTTGCATTGCTTTGACAAATTTCTCAAATAACTCTCTATTTTAGGAATCCAAGCAGCAAATTCCATTGGTGGTTGAAAGCTGTATACAGTTCCTTAGCCGTCATGGTATGAATAAAATATTTAGCATTTACCAATACCATTTTTTCTTTGTCAACTGTTTTATTTAAAATGCTGCATGAAACAGCATACGTCACATGCAGATGGGTAAACATATGTATGTGCAGTGCAGTAAGATGAATGCATGTATACAAATAATGTGGCTTACACAACACCCAATACCAAAAAAGTTGGGACACCGTGTAAAATCTACAGAACATAATATCATACCAGACCTTTTGCAAACATTTGGCACATCTTGAAACATAAAATATGACAAAGAAAACCCAGGACTGTTGAGCAGTTAGAATCCTATATCAGGCAAGAATAGGACAACATTCCTCTCTCAAAACTTCAGCAACTGGTCTCCTCAGTAAGTACATATTTTCCTTTCATTAATCATTCCATTGCTATATCCTGTTCTAGGTCTTCGACATGAGGGCATATTCCGAGTGTCTGGCTCCCAAGTTGAAGTAAATGATATTAAGAATGCATTTGAGAGAGGTAGGTGTGTATTGTCTTTTTGTGTCCAGATATCTTGCAATTTTATATAAGACATTTTGAAATCCATGGAGAATATTAGAATTTGATATTCAAATAAATATTTCTAGAGGAACCAATGTAGACCCCAGGTTCTGACTCGTGTCTTTTGACCCCTCTCTTGCACCTTTTTTTTTTTTCCAAGCATTGATTGGTGGACACAGAATTCAGTTTTCTACATACGGGACAAAGAAGACACTGGGCTCAGCCCCATCTAATGACTATACCCCCTGCATCTACAGCGCAAGCTTAGTTAGTGTGCTGAGGGGAGGGTAGGACATCTCTGTTCAGCTCAGCTGAATCAAGACTGTCAGGGTCATACAAGACTCCCAGATCTTTGATCACCCCAGCAGCCGTGTCTACATGTCTACCCATTTAATTGCAGTGGCCCCTCCTGATCTGACATTTTAATTTGCTACAGCAGACATAATCTTGGTCAGTGTTGCATAT